CCGAGGAGATGGGCTGTTCGCTGGGCGGTGTCGTCGGGTACCAGGTCCGCTTCGATGACTGCACCACGGAGGTAGGGCTCTGAGGGCTGGGTCCCGGCGGGTGTTGTCCGGGCAGGGGGTGGCGGTGGGCTGTGGCTCAGTTTTTGGCGTGTGGGCCTCTCTGTGGAGTGGCACAGCCCTCTGCCCTCTCCTGGGGCTTTGCCTGCAGAAGGTCTCAGAGCCTTGAGAAGCCATCTGTCCCAGCTGTGGGGAAGCTGCAGTTGTATGTATCATGTAACTCATTTGATCAAGGTTTGTAAACACCCTACAAGTGAGACATTGCAATCTCACGGTGCGTTCTGGACAGATATGTGATCTCTGTAGAAGTGTTTGCTTTGAAATGAAAATCCAGGATAACAACTGAATGTCTAATTAAAACTTTCAGGATACTGCCATCAGGTATATGACCGATGGTTGCTTATTGAGGCAAATACTGGCAGACCCCCTTCTCAGCAAGTACAGTGTCATCATTTTGGATGAAGCCCATGAGCGGAGCCTCAGCACTGTGAGTGTCACCTTTTATTTGTCCTTTGGGTCACTATTTCTCCTTTACTGAGGTCTGCTTATAGCTTTCTTTCACTTCAGCACAATCCCCAAAGATTTTCGCTGACTTTCCATAGATGCACTTATCCTTTTACTGTCCTATGACCACAGAATTGCTGCTTCGTTTATTACATGCTGCCTAATCTTAAAAAAAACCACACACACAAGCAAACAAAACCATGAAACATCTCTCTCACTCAAAGACCTAATGTTTCTTAGGGCGTGTATATGCCTGTGCAAAGAGATTGTGCCTTTTGGGATCATGGAAGTATCTAAACTGACTTAAGTAGCAAAAGCTATCAAATGTCACTCTGACCCTTCTGTGGCAAGCAAAGTGACACTCGAGTCACTCAGTCCTCAAGAGATTGTGTTGTGTGTCAAACAACATATCAGTCCAGCAAACAATTTGCTGGTCCAGCTGGGGAAAAGGGAAAATGTTTTCTGAGTCCTGGTTCTGCCCTCAGGCATCTGAGGGTATTGTAAGTAATTGAGCTAAAGTGATGTAAGAAGTTGCTGCTCCATCACTTGTGTCTAACTAAAAGGAGCAGATTTTTAATCCAGAGTACTGCAGAGTAAATAGACTTGCTGAAGTGATAACGATAAATAGTACAATGAAGGAGGGTGCATGCTCAGTCAGGTAACATATGCTGGACAAAGGTGGTGACTTGTAAAAATGAGTCTGAGGTAACTGCTTGCAAATTACTTGACCCTGAAAGTATAACAATGAAAACCAAACAATTTTAAGTTATACTGATTCTGTTTCTAGGCTGTGAGAAGAGCTGATAAAAAATTAACTAAGTTCTAGAAACTAATTAGCATGCTTACAAGATGACCAGGATAAGTGTATGTATTCTTCTGAGTGCTTAGGCCCTGAAGATGTGATTTTTCTGTCTTCACTGTATAAGTAGGATAAAATCAGTCCCTTTCAAGTTCATCAGGCATGTCTAAGAAAACCAGAGGACTAATGTAAGTTGTTTCTGTTTGTCTGTTAGGATATTTTATTTGGTTTGCTGAAGAAACTATTTCTACAGAAGAAACCACCGGACAGGAAGACGGCCATGAAAGTGGTCGTGATGTCGGCCACCTTGGAGGTAGACAAACTCTCAGAGTTCTTTGGACACTGTTCAGTGCTGCACATTCCAGGAAGAAGTTATCCCGTCAAGGAGATATTCTGCAACCTGCTCAGCCCAAGAGATGTAGGCAGCTCTGCATATGTTACAGAGGTCTGGCCTGTTTTACTTTGTTTCTGTGTCGTGTTCTCTGTTCTTGGTATGATGATCATCTCTGAAAGACCACGAGAATTAGCTGCTGTATTGCTCTGTTCTTAGCATCTCTGCAGGATATAGGGAAGAACTAGTTAGTACTATGAGTACTTTTAGAAAGAGTAAGTGGGATTCCAGCTGTTACTGGCTTGTTTGTTTTTTGTTTCAGGCTGTAAAAGTGACATTGGATATCCACTTAAATGAACCAGAAGGCGACATCTTGGTTTTCCTGACAGGTGTGAATTTTTCTTTCAACAAGTGGTGTTTATTCCAGATGAAGCATGGCGTTGCCAGCTTCCAGGGACTGTCTAGATTGTTCCAGAGCAGTAAGTAGAGAAGGTAAAGTTGCAGGTTGACGCACACAGTCCTGTGAAGTGCTAGTTTTCAGAGCGTGTTTAGGTATATCCATGCGTATGAGATCAGATAAGAAAATCAGTAACTTAAAAATTTGCCTATGCTCTCTTCTTCCTGTGCCAAATTTACTCTTGTTTGTATTGTCTACATGTTTTATTTTGTTGTTAATTCAGGGAGGGAGAATTTCTTTAGCTGCAATTAATGTATGAGCCAGGCACTTATGCAGTCATCTTTTAAGAGTGCCTTGGTGAGAGGCACTGTGTAAAGACTGGATGTCACCTCCTAAACTATCTCTCATAAATATTACTTCCTTCATGTAATGGTGTGGATGACTCTGTAATATTGTCAAAACAATCTTGTTTAAAGATGTTGCAAACCAGGAAGGCAGAATCGTAGCTACATAGGTTGCTTAAATGCTCTTGTATGTTTTTTAGGTCAAATTGAGATAGAAAGAGCTTGTGACTTACTTTTCAAGAAAGCAGAATCGATTGATTACCGGTACGAAGTACATGATCGGTCTGTTGAAGGCTTGCTTATTTTACCATTGTATGGTTCAATGTCAACAGGTAAGAGCATACAATGTCTTTGGCCATGTGATTTTGGACACATGCTAAAGTAGTATCAAATCCATATTTTAAAATGTTGTATGATTCACTTTCTGATTTCATTCAAATTGCTTTCGCTAAGCATTTGAGTAAGCTTGCACAACGTTAGAGGTGTGGTTTGAGATCAGAGCATTGTAACGTAACAGATTGTTTGACTGCCTCTCATTTTAGATCAACAGAAAAGAATATTTTTGCCAGCTCCCACGGGCATTAGAAAATGTGTGGTATCCACAAACATTGCTGCAACATCTCTGACAATAGAAGGAGTCAGGTACTGTTTCCTATCCTTCGTAAGAGCTGTAACAGAGAGAATAATTCAGAAAATGCTAGATTTGGAGAAACACATCTTACTTCCTTCCACTGCTATACCTGCCCCATAATTACCTGTTGCCTTTTTTGTGTGTGTAGTGAATAAAAAAGCTCTTGATACTATAATATAGTCTTACAGATGACTAATACTGTTGGACCCTAATTTGAAATCAAATCCCAGCTCCATTAATGTCCTTGGGTGCTGGGAGGTATTATCTGTAACATCCTGCAGGCTGAACCGTTGCATGGGTGCATCTGACCAGCAAAGTGCAACTCCCTGTTTGCAACAAGTGTAGGGCAGACGAGTTCTTGCTCTGACCAGATGCGTGTAGCAGTTACTTGTCTGTCTGCTGAGACCTCTGTTGTTTTCCTCTCTGATAGAGTATGAATCTTTTTCAGGTACGTAGTAGATAGTGGATTTGTGAAGCAGTTGAATCATAATCCTCGAGTTGGCTTGGACATACTGGAGGTGGTTCCCATTTCAAAGTAAGTTTTTAAAAAGGTTATTTGCTTCATGTTTCTGGGATTTGCTCTGACAATGCTGTGTATTGGTTGATTTAAAAAAAAAAAAAAAGGGAGGGTGGGGTGGGCAGCTCTGAGGCTCCATAATTTAAATCCATTTTGTTTGCTGCTAAATAGGTAGTGGTTCAGGACATATACTTTCCTATAAGTTGCAGGCATTAAGAAGGAATTGACAATACATTTTCTGTAGTCTGAACAATGGCTCTCATGTAATCTTGTGTTTGCTGAATACAACAGCCCAATTCAAAGAAGTTAAAAAATCTGCCCTTGCACAGAAACGTTTCTTCATTCTGCTGGTTGTTGTATAGCTGGATTTCTCAGTTGCTGCACGGTATGATACGTCATCCATGTACACACATAGAAGTTGCTATTATCTATCATAACTGTGTGTGCTTTTTTGGAGAACAACAGAAGGGATCAAGAGTTTGGATTTTTTTTCCCTGTCTTTCTGTTTTGGCAGGAGTGAGGCAAGGCAACGAGCTGGCCGAGCTGGCAGGACATCATCTGGAAAAAGCTATCGGCTGTACAGCAAAGAATTCTGGGAGCAATGTATGCCTGATCACACGGTCCCAGAGATCAAGAGAAGCAGTCTGACATCGGTGATCCTGACCTTGAAGTGCCTTTCTGTGCATGATGTCATAAGGTAACCTCTGTGGAGGGGGGAAGATTATAATTTTCTTCCTGAGTCTCAGCAGTAAGGCAGTAGCAGGCACCAACAGCCTATTGGCAGGAGGCAGGATTATGTCCCCGGCCAACTGTGACACTTTGATACAGTCAGCTTTTCTGCTGTTCTCCTCAGTCTTTAATGGCAGATTGGAGCTTGAGCTCAAGTTCAGTTTGAGGTTCTGCCAAAACTAGCTCCTTCTCTCTGAAATTAAATAGTTCATAGTGTTCCTTTAAAATACTGATGTTTATAACCCGAAAGTTTAGTCTCTGTGGAATGGTTTAATTTTAGGATCACACATATTGCATGGCCATGCTGGGGTTTGTCATCGTTAATTCTTCAGCTTGAGGCTGTACATGTAGTAATACACCCATATGCTGAAGATGCTTGTGTTCCCTTTGGTCAGAAACCTGTATTGGAAGGTTATAGAAGTATTTTAATAAACATGAAAACTAACAAAGCTGTACTGAGTCTGAACAGTGAGATCTTTTTACTTCGTTTTTTACTATAGATTTCCCTATTTGGACCCTCCTGAAGAAAGGCATATTTTAGAAGCTCTCAAGGAACTTTACCAGTGTGGTGCTATTGACAGGTAAAAAAATAAAGGGGTGTAGTCACTACAAGAGTTTAAAATCTAATGGTTTAAGTGGTGTTAGTGAGTTGTTCATGTGGACTAAAGGACTTCCCCCAGCAGTAGAATATGTTTCCTCATTAGACCAGGAAGTTAACTCCTGGGTTTTAATATACTCTGTAAAATCAGGGTTAGAGCGTGGCTTAGGGCTTGAGAGATACAGATTAATTTATCCATATTGTCCTGGAGTTCCTGAGTGACCTCGGACAAATTAACTCAGCTCTCTGTGCTGTAGTTCCTGACTGCAGATCCCAGACTGTTGTGACAAAGGTGCTTGGGCTCTAGCTGTGAGGCCCGTCCAAGAACTCAAGACAGGAAGCAAGATCTTATCCTAAGCTTCCAGGAATTCTTCATGCAAAAAAAAAAGTTATGTTAAGCATCTGAAACACTTAAAAAGCTGGCTTTGCCTGCCATGAAGCATGCATAAGCAAACTGGAGAAAGGTGAAATGTTATTCTGCTAACCACACTTGATTCGTGCCTCCAGCACCTATGTGGGCACACACAGACTGCAGGGTTAGAACAGTCCAGAGGGAAATGCTGCTTTCATGCTGTTTATCAGTATACGGTGGCTGACATTGTGTGTGCATGTTCCACTTCACATTTAAACATAGTTTTATTGATTCTGGTATTTGAATCTTTTTTTCCTGGGATAAGGAGAGGCCACGTGACAAGACTGGGTGAATTCCTGGTGCAGTTTCCCCTCCCTCCCAACCTGAGCTGTGCTGTTTTAAAAGCTGCTTCTCTTGACTGTGAAGATCTGCTGCTTCCCATAGCAGCCATGTTGTCTGTGGAAAATGTCTTCATTCGTCCAGGTAGGAAGCCTCTCATCCCAGAGCAGCCTTGGGAAGGTGGGAATTCTGTTGGACAGGAACATCTCAGCCAGTGGTTAGGCAGCACACACCGCTTCACCTGGAGACCTTTTCTGCAGCTTCCCTCTGCAGGATTTTTTGCTCTCAGTGGTTTTCTGTGCTAATAGTTTGTGAGGCCACAGTATCTTACAAATGTGTCTCATGGTTATAAGTGGGAACTGATTCTGTATTTTGAACAGTGGTAGCACAAGCCTTTGCTTGAGAGTAAAGATACTCCTGCTGGGGAGCAAGCTAGTGTCCTTACTTGGGCCCAGCACTGGTGGGAGATATAAGTGTTTACCTTAAACTAATGTGTTAAATAACACTTATGTTGCAATGTGAGGAAGATTCCTCAAGTGCAATGCCTTGTCTCTCAGAGTATTTTGTAGCAGATCTGCAGGGAAGAATGTTAAGATTAGGACAAATATACGATGGCACTTTGCCCGTATGCTTTTACGGCTTTCTGTGGTCTTGGAGTTAGGGCACGTTGCACACCACGAACTGGATAACAGCTATTCAAAAGACTTCAAAATAGCATGGAATTGGGTTGCATTTGTTCCAAGGCTGTGAGCTGTAAAGGAACATATGGGTAAGCGATTGGATTGCTGAGAGGTCATAAGGGGGAAAACTGTGTTACAGGAGGGAAAAAAACCAAAACAACAAAACACAAAAAAACCATAACACGCCACAGCAGATGTTTTGCTCTTGGCATTTGCTGTTGGCCTAAGTACAGATGACAGGGACTGATTAATATGTTTTTAAAGAGTGGGGTCACCTCTGGATTGGCTTTTCTGTTCAACAACTCTCTTTAACCAAATAGATCTTTTAAGTTATTGTGAGAAGCTCAACTTATGACTGCCTCCATTCCCAGTGTTTTTCTAAATGGAAAATGCAATTTTGCTGCAGTTCCAAGCTAGCACCTCTCACTAGTGCTGAACTCAGTCTCCCATGTCCTCCTTCCTGTATCTCCTTTCCCTTCCAGTGTGCCTCAACCTGTTCCCCCGATCTGTGCTACATATAGTCTTTATAAGCAGCACAGTCTTTGTGTGAGACCTTTGTCCTTTCTAGTCACTCATTGGCTCTTGTCCAGTTATCTCTGTAGTCTATTAACTGTGCCCGTTAGTGCAACAGCTAATGACACTGCTGACAGTACTGATAGCCTGGATTCTGCTCTGGGGTCTTTCTCATTCCCACAAATATGCTTTTGCTTTCCCATCCTCCATCTGGCAGTTTGCCCATGTTATCTGTTCAGCTAGCTCGTGCACACATGTTCGTTACTCTCCAGCAACCCCGTACATTAGGGCACAAACACAGACTCCCATCCTGAAGGGACTTGCTTATGAGCAATATGCACACGAACAGGCCTCCTTATTTCACTGGTGTTACTTGGAATGCCCACAAACTTCTGACATTGCCTGCAGTACAGCAGCAGTGCAATGCGATGGCCTTTGCAGCCATATTCCTCTCTACTTGGGGGAATAGGTTGTGCTGGGGAAGAAATTCTTTAGGTATTTAACACTTGAAATAACAGTTTGGAAATGTTGCTTTTGGCTAGTATATTCCAGGCATTTAGTGAAGGTGAATTCCCACTGAACTCACAGATTGCATTTTTTTCTAGACTCTTATTTATTTTAAGACCTCCATTACCATGGCACTTGAGTACTAGGACAAAAGCCGAGTTAAATAGATTAGATGGTGCTATGATGGGGTGGTTTCAACAGTCTTGTTATTTCTCTCAGGGCAGAACTTTCACTTGATCCTTGTGAGCTGTTTGTTTAAGGTCATTGTTCTTTTATCTTTCCGTGTTGGCATCTGAATTAATTGTGAGAGAAATATGTAGTACCTTTCTTTCTAAGAGACTAGAATTCTTCATCTCTAGTGCTGAGTGATAAGATTAATCACAGATTTATAGCATCTACCTGCTCTTGTTCAGCAGTAGTGGAAGGAGGAAGAACTGTAAATGCAGCTGTGGAGGAGAGACAAATCTAAAAATAACATGAATAAAGAACCAAGGTTGTCAAACATGCTTTGGAGAGATGCTAACAGAAAATGAAGTAGGTGTGATAAATAAAAATGACTTTGTTGAAGTGAGATATAACTTCCTTCCTCAGGTGATCCTCAGAAGCAAAAGGAGGCTGAGCTTCAACACCAGGAACTTTCCTCGCAAGTGGGAGGATGCAATGACTTTGCAACCCTCTTAAATATTTTTGAACAGTGCAAAGCAAGGTATAAAATGATTCCTTACAGAAAGTGGTTTTCATCGCTCGTAACTGCCAGCTGCTGGTGGTTTTTAAATACATTGCATATCTGCACATGTGTGTGCTCATACCTAATTGCAGATTTATAATGTGTGATGATCTGTCATTTCCGTCAAGATGCCTGTTATTTAAACTAACAGTATCTGGCTGTGTAGGTTGCCTTCTTTGTACGACCATAACAAAAAATAGAGGCAACTTTCTGCCTGAAGCTTACAAAGGGCTTCTTTATAATACAAGTATTTCTGTTCTCAGCAAGTCTCCTTCAGCTTGGTGCCAGAAATACTGGATCCATTGGAGAGCTTTAAAATCTGCTTTTAGTGTGGAAAAACAGCTTCGGGAAATAATCAGTAAACTGAAACAGGTAGAAAATATAATTTTTTGATATGATTGAGTTATGTAAGTTTGTATTTAAGACATGTACTGGACTACTGAGCATTTGCCAGATGGCTGCTGCTTTTCTCCAGTAGAAGCTAATCCACTTAGATATTTATTGGAGCATCCTTGCTGTAGCTTGTGTAACTAACAGGTATGATGGTGGTAACAAGCAAGAAGGTTTTTCCTCCTTTCCTCATGGTTTCCGCAGGGTGAGAAACCCAGAGTTTAAAATCCATGGGATGGAGTGGGTATAGCCACTTTTTCATTATGAAAGATCCCAACTCACGTTGTTTTTTCTTTACGTAGCTGCCAGACTTCCCTAAAGAGACATTTGAAGGCTCCAGAACTGAAATACTAAGAAGATGTCTGTGTGCAGGATACTTTATCAATGTAGCTAGGAGGTAAGTAATAAAGTTTGGAGAGGTGAATGGAAAAGATACAATCTATATTTTTTAAAGTAGTAGTTGCATACTGAAACAGAATAGCAAGGCTGTTATTGTTAAAGTAACAAAGTAGCAATTGCAGCGGAAGGTGCTGTTTCTGCACAGGGCTGGACGCTGTGTGGGTACTCTGCTTTTGACTCTCATTCCATTCCTGGGGGAGTTGCTTACCTCCTTGGAATAGTAGTTTTTCTATCTGTGAAATTAACTTGCAAGCTCATGAGTAGTTGCAGATACTAAACCTAAGGGCTTGCAAATGTCCAATTATCATGGCTGTCAAAGACTTCAGTCCCAAACCCTGTTTATTATTGTGGTGTTAAATCTGCAGTGTTACTGTGGTAAATTAGACAGATATGTTTTATTCCTTATTGTATTTTTCACAGTTGAATGCTGGAAGGATCTTCCCCTGCTTATGGAGTATTTTCTTCTATGCTGCTGATGATTTGCTTAGTTAGTGTTGCTGGCAAATCACAGCAAAGTATGTTTCATTATATATATATTTTTTTTTTCCACAAACCTTTCAGATCTGCAGCCAGGACATTCTGCACAATGGACGGCCATGGCAGCATAGTCTATATCCATCCTTCATCTACAGTAAGTTACCAAATTCTGTTACTAAAGTAGCAAAGGATCTGTAAAAGGAATAGGAGGCAGGTCCCTGTCTTCCTCTTCTGTTTGGTTTGTGCTAACTTACAGTCAGGAGAAGCACTGTTGCAGTGTTCATTTTGAGAGTGGGGAAGAGTCTCCCTTCAAATTTGGTAAACATTGGCTTATGAAATGAGTGTGACATAGACTGAGCTTTCTCTCCAGCTCTTTGAATTTCCTGGGGAATTCTAAGCCAGTCATTATACCTCAGTTTCCCAGCCTGAGAATTTAGGGTAATGTCAGCTTTATCTCAGTCTTGCACATGAAGCATTGGAAGATATTCCGATGGAGGGTGCTCTAGAAATAAAAATTATTTTTGATCAGTTCTGAAGTAATATTTTAATTTTTCAGCTGTATAACCAGGAGACTCGCCTCGAGTGGATCATCTTCCATGATGTCACAGTGACATCCAAAATCTATGTCCGGACAGTGTGTCCTGTTCGTTATGAATGGGTCAAAGACTTGCTGCCCAGATTGCATCAGATTGATGCATATGAACTGAGCAGCGTGGCACGGGAAGAAGTAACTGAAGAGGAAATAACCAAGTGGAAACACAAGGAGGAGCTTAAAAGGCAGTGTGGTAAGCACATTACTAGTCCTTATCTATGGCGTGTGCAGTTTTCTTGGTCATTGTGGATGTGTGTGTATATTATTTCACTGAATGCATTCTGGACTAGTAGGTGTTAAGCTGGATGTGCTTAACGTATTTGATATGCGTAGCTCTAGCTGTTTTCTTGTCTTACTACAGCTCTGCAGTCCTTGTTTTCCTGCCTCGGCTGTGCGTGTAGTGCTGTTTGCTTACTGTTTCTTGCCATGCTCCCCCTTTTGGTTTAATACAGCTGACAGAAGCAGAACTTTAACCTAGAGCTGCATAAAGCATTTTGAGTCTAACCATTATTGAAGTTTGCAAAGGGTATCTAGCCATAGATACCCAAAATAATACTGTCCTGAGAGAGAGGAGTCCTAGGGGGGGCTGGAGAGTGAGAAAAAAACAAACAAGCAACAAAAAGACACCAATCCAGAAAACCCCAACAAACAAAAAACACAGGGGGGAGAAAGTAGCATATTTCAGTGAATGTCTCATTCTGAATATGAATTTAAAGTCATACATTTAAACAGTTTTAATTAAAACTGGTGCCTGCTAACTGATCTGGCTGCTTGACATTCTTTGAATTCTTCTGCCAGCAGGTTTCATAGAGGAGCCAAGTATTCGAAGGGCCTCTTTACTCCTGAGTTGACCCTTCCAAAACATGTATTTAACATACAGTATGGGCACTGGCAGTATAGATTCTCTTCAGTTTCCTTAACAACAGAAAAAATGTAGACTCTTATGCTCAGACCAGCGTCTCTTTCGATCCTGCATTACTGTATAGAATAACCATTTTAAATGATACAAACCTGAATGGGATTTGGTTATAAATCTACTGGAAAGGATATTTGCATTATTGGATAATGCAGAGGAGCCTCATCTATTTATCTGAAGTCCAAAGAGATGAGGTTTGTTCTCTTTGTCCCCCTTTTTTACTTCACCAGGCAGTTGTAAATTAATTTGAGATTAATATTGACCTTAGAGATGTTGTATTTCTGGGAGTTTTATAAAAATAGGTGGCTGAACAGATGACAAAGGCTTAATTAGTGCCCAGTGGAAGGAAAGGCTGCAGCATGAGCTGAGTTCTTATTTGACTCCAAGACAGAATAATTAAAAATCTTCTAAGAGTGACTGCTGATTAAAGCTCCTTCCTCATGTCAAAGAATCTGGTGCCCAGCCCCAGAGCCCTAGGAACAGGCGGCAGTAGCTGTTTCATTCACGTGATACTTAGGCTCTGAGAGTCTTTGAATTATTTTTTT